AGGGACCTGGTCTCTCTAAAGGGAATGAGATTATTGGATATTTTCCCCCCTTAACGCAGAAGGGGGAAAATGCCTTAGCACAAGAAAATCATACATCACCTCTTGAATGAATCTATAATCCATCTATCAGACCATTGGCACATGCCTTACCTCCAGAGACAGTTGTTGTCCAGAGGACAAGTCATAAACTGCAATTTTGATTTCTTGGCATAAAGAGAGAGCTTTCACCACGTCTGGGCAGTGGATTGAGAACTGGCAGGCTCTAGTCTATATCCCTTATATTTCTCAGTCCTCCCGGCCTACTGACCACCTGACGTTACAGTGCACATAGAGCAGGGAGTGGAAGGAGAGGAAGTGGATCTGAAAGTCACTGCAAACGTCCCATGTCGCCTTGACTTAGGAGTTTATGACTCTACAAATTGTCACAGCCCATTAAGGGTCTTTTTTCCAGTTTCCCAAGCACACAAGCTGCTGCCTTTGCCAAGCCAGCCTGACTCCCTTCTGGCAGGTAGCCTGTCACGTCCATCAAGTCCGTCCTTACCGCTCAGCGAGGTATTTTGAAGGATCTGCCCACCCACCGCCTACTGTTTGAAGAACTGGGAACCCAAGACGCCCTACCTTGAGTGACATGAAAGAGCAGGCCCTCAGGAGCTTCTCTTATGTTATCACTGTCATGACGCTTGGACAAAAAGTAAAATAACCAGTGGGACATCCCTGATGGCTGGTGGCTGAGAGTCCGCCTGCCAATGCAGGGAACACAGGTTCGATCCCTGGTCGGGGAAGGTCCCACATGCCGAGGAGTTAACTAAGCCACAACTACTGAGCCCGTGCACTGCAACTCCTGAAGCCCCCTGCCTGCAGCCAGCGCTGCACAACAAGAGAAGCCACCGCGAGAAGCTCAAGCCCCACAACGAGGAGCAGCCCGTCTGCTGCAACTAGAGAGGGCCCGGGCAGCACTGAAGACCCAGGGCAGCTTAAGGTAAAATAAACAAGTAAAATGACCGACTACGTTCTCTTCTCAGGCCTTGTGGACACCGAGCCCAGGGAGCTGAGCACACCCTGAATGAGACTCAGGGACGTGGAGGCTCATGTTCTGCGGCTGGTTCTAGTCTGTCGGTGGAACGAAGTTACTCTGCCTTCTACTGTCCCCGTCTTCCCATCTGTAAAATGGGTCTCATGTCACCAGCCCACCCAGAAAGTAACAAGGAGCCACACAGATGTTCTTAAGTTTTAAATAAAGTTATTCAGGCTGCCCCTATCACCAGCCCATTGCCTTGAGTTCAAATGTCAACTCTGCTTCTGCAATGCTTAAGAAAACTGGTTCCTGTATCTCTCCTCGCCCGTGTAATATTCTGAATATTTCACACAGAACTACAGGCAGCAAAGAACAAGGCATTCAAGGAACGAGGATATACAAATACTCAGATCACAAGGACAGGGGACCAAAGTACACATGTAGGGAGCACTTTCTGGTTGTGGAAAACAAAAGACAGAGTGGCAGAGGACGGAGCCCCTAAAAAGATGTGTAAGTGAACAGTGAAATCACTGAAAGGAAGAAACGGGAAACCGTGGGGATGGTCATGTTTTATGAGCAGGTGACCACTGCCGGCTACAAAAGGAAATCCTTTAAAAGTAAGAGTCTTTGGAAGAGAGAGGTAGGAAGGGCTAAACTAATTAAAACCGGGTTGGCTATTGACGGGCAACACCACATGGGTGCTGAGATGGGGTGCAGCCATAAAAGCTTGACGCAGACACGCAGTGTATTAAGTTGGGAATGCATGTCTTTCTAGCTTCCTTTCTATTAAAGGAACAAACAATTTACATGTGGCTGCGTTACAGAAGTGTGATATGTGGAGCGTCAACCCTTTCTCTTCACACCCAACTGTGTTCAGTCAAAGCAGAGACGGGGTGCAGGTGGGTGGGGAGGGGGAGGAGAAGAGCGGGGAGAAAGAAAGTTTTTAAAAAAATCTCTGCCTCAGCAAAAGTTTTCATTAAAATTTTAGACAAATGATCCCTGTGTCCTTCTCCCTTGCTGCCTGGGGCTCCATGCTATTTCTATGCAAATAACAACCTCGTGGTTTATATCTTATTATTTCCACCGGAGCTGCAGCGACATGACCTGAGACGTGTAAGGGGGGGGGCGGTGGGGGGGAGGTGGAGTTAGAAAGGAGAGAGAAAGAGAGAAGAGGAGAGAGAGATGAAGTGGGTGTTCACTCAAGTGTGAAAAAAATACTGTCAGGAGTGCACGTCAAGAACAAAAAAAAAAAATCGCAGGGATAACGTGTTTATTTCAGTACCACCCCCACCCTCAGCCCCCCCCCCCCCAATCCAGCACCTTTTAAAATTCATTGGGCATCGGGCGATCATGCACAATCCATCTGCTTTCACTTTATCATTTGCATTTCATGCCTCCTGGCTTTTGATGTGCTGATACTTTGATGCAGTCAGGAGACGCGCATTATCATTATTTCAATTTTCAAAGGGGTCAACGGGATCGGCACTTGCACACACAGATTTTTTTTTCCCTACAACCTCTGCATGCCCCCCCTCTTCTGACTCTTCACCCTAATGTTTAACATAAAGGATGAAGACTCAGAAAGGTAGGGGTCAAATGTTTACAGTCTAAAGGCTCTCGTCCACCACCTACATTTACACAGGTACACGCGTATGACAGGCTAGATGGTCAGGGCTTGGGGAGACTCTACGGGGCTCCAGACACACACAAAGACTTTCTTACACATGGAGACTCAGGGAAGCACACAGACACAAAGAGAGAGACTGGCGCTCAGGCAGGAAGAGACGAGCACTCAGAGTGACCTGGACACACGCCCAGTGGATGCGAGACGCAGATTCCTACAGAAGAAAAGGCAGGCGTGCAGAGCGGTGGCGGTGCACACAAAGACATGATGTGCACAAGCAGGAAGGCGGAGGGGGCCGCCGGAGAACCTGGCTCCTGTCTAGTCCCCTTCTTCATGCCTGAGAGGCACAGGGGCAGACAGGACCTTTTAATGAATTTGCACGAAATCGGGGGTCTGCCAGCTCCATGGCTCCATGTATGAGGATAGTGAAGCAGTCAGGGCAGGGTTAGGTAACCCCTCTAACTGATCACTCCCTTCAGCTACAAATGATCATATCCTTCTGGAAATGAGCACTGTAGGGTAAGTTACAGCTGCAGCCTCACTGTCGCTTCCCTACAACTAGACTTCTTCTTTAACCAGCAGCCCTGCAGGCTAAGAGGAAGATGAATATACTGAATTTGACCACAGCAATTCAACCAGATTTTAAGAAAACAAAACAAAATCCCTAATGCTTTCTTTGCAGCACGACTGAAATTCAACTACCAAGCTTTCAGGAAAAAAACAAACAAAACCCCCAGCAGCAGTGAAAACAACACGACAACAGTGCCAACACCTTTGCCTTTTGGAATAGTCTTTTGGTATCAGGGAAAAAATAAGAAACTCAGTGTGACAAGACCCTTTTCAGAAATTAGCTCTTTGTTCAGGTAGAGGAACATTACAGAAATGTAGGTGTCTTCGTTACATTGGATCCTCACAGATAATGGTACCTACAGTTCTCTTCAGCATGCATCAATATCTCATTCTAAGAAAAAGGATCCAGAAGAAGAACTTTTTTTAAAACATAAGACTCTCAGCCAGTTTCATTCAGAGGAATAATCTCCCTCAGTAGAGACAGTTCACAATCTTTATTTCCAGGCTACTCTCTAAAGAAAGAGCAGGACATCCAGGTTGGCCACTGTGAGCACTGCTCTGCTTTCCTTGGAGAGAAACGCAAACCCAGAGAAGGATACGGAGTTCACATGGATGCAGAGAGTAACCTTATCACCTCATACCATTCTCATTTCTGTCGTCCCTCAAAGTTAATTGGACTGATGGCAGTGTCAACTTATTCTAAATGGGGATGATAGGCTAGGGCACTTAATTCCAATCCTTCCACTTGAAAGTCAAGGCTGGATCTTAAAAAAAAAAAGTTTGTGCAAGTCTAATAAACAACTTAGCACATGTGTAATTCCCCAAGTTCAATCCTCAAACCAAGTTAAGAGAGAGGAAAAGGTAACTGGAACTGCAGTGCAGGCCAATGCTTTGCACGAAGTTCAAGGTGCTTTTACCTATGTTTTCTCATTTGATGTTTACAGCATCATTTAAAAGATGATGGGAAATTATTACCCATCTTTGACAGATAAAGAAAGATGAGAGGTTATGTGAGTTGTATGAGGTCAGTCAGCCAGCCTTAGACTATTACATATTCCTAGCTTTGGAGAGGAAATAATTTTCCTATGCCTGCAAAGAAGGGGGAACTACATGGTCCTTTGTAATATGCAGGTATTCTTAGGTACTGAGGTCACTGTAAGAGTGAAAACTATCTATTTTTTTCCCTTTGTGGAAAAGCCACTATAAACTTGGATTGAAAAGGCACAAGCATTTCTTTGGAAGGGAAAGTAAATGTCCATGTCATACTCTTTTCTTAGCAATCCATCCATGCATCCACCTGCCTACTTCCCATTCAACATTTACCAAGTACTTCCTTACCTTAAGTGCTCCTTTTCAGAGGTACTTTCACAAATTTCTCAAAATATTAAAACCTGACACCCTTGCCATGTTCAGAGGATGTTTCATAGGTATAGATCTCACATTGCTTGCTCACAGATGAGAAAAAGGGAGGGAGGGCACAACGGAAGGAGTCAATGAAATTTGATCTTTCTAGAAAGACATCAGAATGTAAACTCTTTGCAGCAGGAGATATATATGGTTTGTTTGTTAACATATCCACAGGGCTTGGAATAGTGTCAGGCACACAGTAGGTACTCATAACACTCATTATGTCAAATGAATGAATAGGCAGAGAAAATGGAGACAGGAGAAGGGAGAGACTGAGGAAGGCGTGGGCTGAATATCTTCCCCCACCAATCAAGACCTAGAATTAAGAATTCACAACAGTCTTTGAAAAGCTTCACACACTTCTTCCAAACCCTAGAAACTTACTTTGTTGAGGGCTCCAGCTCCTGTCAGGATTAAGTGAGAATTTTCGACCTGGATGGTTCTCTGTCCCAGTCGGACAAGGTAAGCCCCAATCCCAATGGCCCTGCATGTAACCTTAAAAAAAGAATAAATTCGACATGTCACATATTTATGTTCCCTCCCAAGCTGTAAGAATTAAGGTATAGGTACAAAAAATTCACATTAACAGAAGTTAGCTTTTTTTTAAATAGGAAAACTGCTTGATTAAATAACAATACAAAAACACAATTTCCTGGTTAAAGCCAAGAAGGTACAGAATTCATTCAATGATTCAAGTCACAGTTAAAGGGTCTCAGACCCTTTACTCCTCTTACACGTTTGCCTGTCCCACAGATGTGTGGCATCCACACTAGAGGTATGAAAAAAGAAACTAGTTAAGAGGAAAAGAAATTTAAGCTGTTAATACTGTGTAGAATATTTGAGAAATAATAAGTTAAACTAAAGGCTAACACAAGGTGCTAGTTTTATCTGGGGAATCCAGTTATGTACATTACCCTATCGTCCTACTACTATGCACTATGCACAATTAAAATCAAATTGCAGATTTACAATTTTAAAGAAATGCTCCTGGGGCTTCCCTGGTGGCACAGAGATAGGAATCCGCCTGCCAGTGCAGGAGACACAGCTTCGATCCCTGGTCTGGGAAGATCCCACATGCCATGGGGCAACTAAGTCTGTGCTCCAGAGCCCAGGGTACTGCAAATATTGAAGCCCGCACACCCTAGAGCCCGTGGTCCACAACAAGAGAAGCCACCATAATAAGAATCCTGCACCGCAATTAGAGAGTAGCTCCCACCCGCTGCAAGTAAAAAGCACGCTCAGCCACAACAACCCAGCACTGCCGATAAATCAATATATTTTTTTTTTTAAAGAAATGCTCTCATTTGAGGCTGAATAGCAGTGATGGTGGCAAAAGCAAATCCTAGTCACAGCCAGCTCTCCAAAAATCTCACACTCGGCCAAGATTTACCAGGCTGATGGTGATGATCTCGTTGTAGGCCAACGAGGACTCCCCAGCAATCATTCCAGAACCTCGAAGGTTCTCTGCTCCAAGTCCTTCTTCCTTCCCAATGATGTCAGTTATCTTGTACCTGGTGGATAGAGCCATGCCAAATTAGACAGGTTAAACACAGTAACAGCAATCCATTAAGAGAATAACCACCATTAATAGGCTGTTAAAAGCATACTGAACTCTTATATTTAACACCAGAGCTCTGTACATTTTTTATACTCTTCATTCATATATCTTTCCTTCTTAGCTTGGTGCCTATTTTGTCTGGAAGCAATATGGTACAGCGGAAAGAGCAAAACCTGGAACTAAGTAGACAGGTTTAAATCCCTGCTCTGACACACACGGCAGTGCGACTCTAGGGATAAGGTAACTTGTGTAAGATGGGAATTAGAGTGCATCCACTTCTGAGAGCTGAGTAGAGTTAAATTAAGCAGCAATGAGAGGGTTTGACACATAGATGGCGCTCCAGTGTCAGAAGACCTCTTACTTTCTAGGACACGTTTCTCTACAATCATCCACAGCCATTAAATCAAGCATTTTAGATGAATGTTACCTAGGAATAAAAAAAAAGAAAAAAAAATCCAGAGGCACAGTGAGAACAGTTTCTCAAGTTCCAAATCCTTTCTCTTTCCAAGACAAGGATGAAGGGAAGGTCAACACAGTGCAGTCTATCCCTGCTCCTTGGAAAGTACCCAGTGTATATATGAGAGTTCCTGACACAGTCCTCTGGAGGGGCAGGGGGAATGTGTGCAAAAGTGAAATGCTGGACAAGTTGTCCAGAAAGCAGCCTGTGGATCCAAGGGGAGCCACTCATGGGTCTTCTCAATGGGAGATTAGGAGTGATAGCTGATAATGCAAAATGGGAGATGGGGAATGCAGCTAATAAAGGAAAAATACAAAGTGGGACATAGAGATGGGCATATGTTATTTATTGTTCCACGTGTGCCCAGAAGGCTTGGCACTGGGCAGTCTTAGAAACTGAAATAATAAATAAATGTCCCATAGTGGCTCTTAAACTATTTTTTTCTCTTTTGCCTCCATATTTCTCTATTCCTTTACTTCCAGCCTTCCACCAATTTCTTTTCTTTGCCCTCGCTGTTGTTCTGTGGCTTTGTGTTTCTGCTTCCCGGATTCCGAGTAATTCCTTCTCCCAGTTCTTCCTTTGGTTTTGTATCTAGACTCTAGATTCCAGATTTATGTTACAGGTAAAGTTAATCTGTGTTAATGGGTTAATGAGCCACAGTAATTTGGTGGTGGGGAGGGGGTTATGTGTTCTTTTTATAAGGCCCACATGCCATATAGTCACACATACTCATGGGCCCAGCCAGCCTTCCTTGCAAAGCAGATCTTTTCCCTCCTAAGGAGTGCTTACTGCTTCACAGGTGTTTATGATTTGTTAAATGACATCTTTTCCTATTGCATCACATGAAAGAGAATAAAAAATTTCCCATTTTCTGCTCTATGATCTAAGTCTTCCACCTTTAAGACTATCATTCTTTAAAGTAGTACCAGGGACTTCCCTGGAGATCCAGTGGTTAAGATTCTGTGCTTTCACTGCAAGGAGCACAGGTTTGATCCCTAGTCAGGGAACTAGATTCTATATGTCACATCACACGGCCAAAAAACAAAAAAGGTAGTACCACATTTTGATGTTACTTATAATAAAAACCTTTGTGCAACATAATACAATTACAAAAGATTTACATGTGTCATTTTTGATCCTCACAACAGTACAGTGTGATAAGGAATATCATCTCCATTATCACAGATAATAACAGCCAGGATCTGTGACTGCTTACTATGTGCTCAGTACTGTGCCAATAAGGGCTTCACATACATAAGCTCACTTGATTCTTCTTCATACAGATGAGGAAACTAAAGCTCAGAGAAGAAAACTGACTTATTTTAACAAAAGCAATATACAAAAATCAAGTCTTCTGACATACCAGTAACAAAGAGTTAAAAAATACAGTGGTTTGGGTGGGGTGGGAATCCTGTTCAGAGTAGCAAGAAAAAGGTGCAAAACATATAGAGTTATTTAAAAAATGGCAAAACCCCACAATACCTACACTGTGCACCCAGAAATCCTAGGATGGGCGCCACAGTGAACCGTCAGGGGCACCGAAGGACATTTCACACTTTTGAGAGAAATACTATGTGATATCTGTTGGCTCCCATGTGGACTACTAGTTTCAAGCAGTTCATGGTTTAACACTAGGTAGTGCTACATTCCTTCTGACAATCTTTGCAAAGCTGGGTTTTCAGTTTTGAAGGTGGTGCGGGGTGGAGGGAGTTCTACACAAAAATCAGTGCAGAACAAGATGTGAGGGTGGCCATGTCCAAGCTGATTCTAAGATCTGCAACATCGTACAGATGCAAATATCCCATAAGTAAGTTACTGCAATAATTTAAGAATGAAATAAAAAAAAATTTTCAGCTGTGATACGTATTATACAGTTGACCCTTGAACAATAACCATAGTTAGGGGCATCAACCCTCAGTAGGTGAAAATTCAAGTATCACTTATAGTTGGTGCTCGATTATTAACACATGGTTCTTCCATGTCTATAAATAGATTCAATCAACCACAGTTGTGTATAGTACTGTTGCATTTACTGTTGAAAACGTCCATGTAGAAGTGGACTCAAGAAATTCAAACCCATGTTGTTCACAGCGTAAATACTTATGAAGCTCTCTGGGTCTGACTACTCAATAATCAGAAATACCAGGTATATCTTTTTGCCTAAAGCTGCTATGAAAAAATTACAGAGACAATACGGGTGCTGTGAACCAAAAAAGACTGGGACCTTCTGGCATAATCTATGTGAAGAAAACTATAAAACTTCAAATATACACTTAAATAATTAAAAAAACACACCATATATCTTGTTGGGAAGAGTTAATATTATGAAGCACTCAGATCTTCCTAAATTAATTTATAAACCTAATGCAACTTGGATCAAAATCATTATGGGAGGTTTGGGGGAATTAAAAAAAAATGAGCCTATATGTAAAAAGACAAAAATAATTAATAACATTTTGGGGAAAAATTAAGAATGTGAGGAACCCTGGGCCATTAGAACAGTTAAAACTGTGTGACATTAGTCCAAGAATAAATAGAACAAAAAACAGAATATAAAGCCTGGTAATTGAGTTAAGATTATTATAAAAGTGAAGAAAGTATGAATTATTCAATAAGATCCTGGAGCAACTGATTAACATTCTGGAAAATACTTTCAGATAGATTATAAAAATGTTCAACCTCACTGGTGATCAAAAAATACCAGTTAAAATAACAATTGCCATTTTCATCCTATTTTATTGACAGTAATCAATGTTGGCAAGGGTGGAGAACAATTAAACAGGGTGAACAAGCACTACATATACTGCTCATGGGAATGCAGCTCTTGAGAGGACAATTTGAAATTATTAAAAAAAATTTTTTTAATGGATATACTTTTTGACTACTAATTCTACTTTCAGAAATTAATACAAAGTAAATAGAAATGCAAATCAAAACCACAATGAGGTACCATTACACACCAGTCAGGATTGCTGCTATCCAAAAGTCTACAAGCAATAAATGCTGGAGAGGGTGTGGAGAAAAGGGAACCCTCTTACACTGCTGGTGGGAATGCAAATTAGTACAGCCACTATGGAAAACAGTGTGGAGATTTCTTAAAAAGCTGGAAATAGAACTGCCATATGACCCAGCAATCCCACTTCTGGGCATACACACTGAGGAAACCAGAGCTGAAAGACACACGTGCACCCCAATGTTCATCGCAGCACTGTTTATAATAGCCAGGACATGGAAGCAACCTAGATGCCCATCAGCAGACGAATGGATGAGGAAGCTGTGGTACATATACACCATGGAATATTACTCAGCCATTAAAAAGAATTCAGTTCTAATGAGATGGATGAAACTGGAGCCCATTATACAGAGTGAAGTAAGCCAGAAAGATAAAGACCATTACAGTATACTAACACATATATATGGAATTTAGAAAGATGGTAACGATAACCCTATGTGCAAAACAGAAAAAGAGACTCCTATGTATAGAACAGACTTGTGGACTCTGGGAGAAGGCGAGGGTGGGATGTTTCAAGAGAACAGCATTGAAACACGTATATTATCTAGGGTGAAACAGTTCACCAGCCCAGGTTGGGTGCATGAGACAAGTGCTCGTGCCTGGTGCACTGGGAAGACCCAGAGGGATTGGGTGGAGAAGGAGGTGGGAGGGGGGACCGGGATGGGGAATACATGTTAAAAAAAAAAAAAAAAAAGATATACTATGGTTGTGATAAAAAATAAATAAATAAAGAAAGAAAGAAAGAAAGAAAAAAAAAAAAGAAATTAATACAAAGTAAATAACCAGAGATATTTCTCAAAGTTTACATAAAAGAATGATCAGTCCAGGGTATAGCAGTAAAAATTAGAATTGTCTGAATGCTCAAATATGATACATTAATTATAAAGATTTATACAAAGCCATTAAATATCATATTCTCAAATAATATTGTAAGAATCTAAAAAGTTCCCCCCCCCAAATAATTTTTAGTGGGAAGAATTACAAAAGACCTTTTCTATTATGACCCCAATTATGTAGGAAAAAAGATGTATATACATATGACAGAAAGTATATAATATATATTAATAATGGTGATCTCTTGGTAGGACTATAGCTGGTTTTTACTTTTTCTTCATAATTGTTTGTATGTTCCAACTTTTCAAATGAATATAAGAAACAATTTTAAAGCCTCAATGAATAATTTTGCCTTTTAGCTAGTAAGTGGTAGAGCGGAGATACCTAAGGCTTCTAGGTTATGCAACAAGCAATCTTCATTGCTCAAGGTCATGATCAGCAGGACAGTGAGAAGAAAATGATCATATTCTCCTTTTTTGAATCCACGGCCAAATTATTCTGATAGATAATACCTACCTGGATTCTCCTTCATCTTCCACATGTTCACAATGGACAGAGTTGAGAGCACTGACTCTCTTGTAATCTTGAGGGGTCAGATATAAATATTTGTATCCCTGTGGGAAGCACAAATAGTTTTTAACCCATTATTTGCCATCACCACATGACCCGAAGACCCAGCAAAGCCCATATGATGCAGCTTGTTCTAAGCTAGCTTTAAATCACCAAATCATGGCTTAGAGTTACTGTCTCATAGAATACTAGCATTGAGAGTGCTCCTTTGAAAGATGGAGGTGTCTGTTTCTATTCTGAAATTAGGTATCTTACAGCTGCAACTTCAGGTATTGATATATTCCTCTCATTTCCTTTTCATCAAGGTTAAAAGGGTCATTCACTAATCTTACGTGATACCTCCATTAAAAACAACAACACAAAATTAAAGCTTTATATGAATTACTATTCATCATTTTCTCACAATGGTACCATCGTACCATCAAAATATAGACGGGTCAAGGATAATTGAGAGTATCACAAAACTGGAGTATTCATCTTGAAATCAGATGTCTATGCAGTGTTAAAGATCAGTACACACTAAGCTTGTACCTTTTGTTTTTCTAAATAAACATTTTATTTTTTAAATAAAAAAGCAAAAAAAAACTTGCTTTTTAAAATAATCCCTAGGTACATTAAAAAATCATACTAACATTTCATAATTAGCTTATTTTTATACATACATATGCACACTCACACACAGAGTTACTTAATACATGTATTCACCTTAAGTGAATGAGTCACTCAGACCAAAAAACAAAAAAAAGCAAACAAACAAAAAGAAAGCAAGCAGAAACAAACACTTAAAATACTGTGAGAAACCATGTCCGCCGTTTAACTGAATTTGTCCCACAACGAGCACAACATGCCAGAGACATGGATTTGAATTTGTCACCGATCCTGCCTGACTCTTGATGAGAAGGCATGGAGAGTCAGCAGTGTGTCCGTCAGCCACATTTACTGGGCGCCTGTTACATGGAAGCCACAGGGAAAACAGGAAGGGACGAAACCGGCAAAAGTTTCTGGCGTTACACAACTTATCTTCTAGTAGGAGATACAGAAAGTACACAAAATAAGTAAGTTAAGTATACGATGTTAATGGGAATAACGTTTGATGGGGAAAAAAATAAAATAGAAGGAGGAGACAGGACAGCTGGGAGAGTTGACCTTCTAGAAGAACAGCCAGGGAAGGCTTTGCTGAAAATGTCATTTGAGCCAATACCTGAAGAGCTGTGGCAGGGAGACACGGGGGTATCTGGCGGAAAAACACTCCAGGCAGAAGGAAGCACAAGCGTGAAAGTGCCAAGTGTGCCCAGCAGGCTCAAGACAGAGCGAGGGGGTGGAGGAACCACGGTGTGGGACGAGGCGGGCGCCCTGGGGGCCAACTTAGGAGGGACTTGCCGGCGACTGCAGCGTTTCTGGCCCTCACGTGAGTTAGCAGGGAAGCCTTTAAAGGGTCTTAATCACAGCAAAGTTTGGAGTCGCGATCTGATTTACATTTAACTGGATCATTCCACTTTCCTTCCTTTCCGCTTTTATTTATTTTTGGTCGTGCTGGTCTTCGCTGCCACGCTGGCTTTTCTCTGGTTGCGGCAAGCAGGGGCACCCTTCAGTTGTGGCGCATGGTCTTCTCATTGCACGGCTTCTCCTGTTGTGGAGCAGGGGCTCTGGGGCCTGCGGGCCGCAGTAGTTGCAGCTCCCGGGCTCTGGAGCACAGGCGCAATAGTCATGGTGCATGGGCTGAGCTGCGCTGCGCATGTGGGATCTTCCCGGACCAGGGATTGAACCTGTGTCTCCTGCATTGGCAAGCAGATTCTCTACCACCGAGCCACCAGGGAAGCCCTCCACTTTCTGTTGAGACTAGACTTTGGGTAGGGGCAGGGGCAAGGCCAGAAGCAGGAAGGTCAATGAGAAGCGACTGCAATAAACGCAGTAAGAGGTGACAGGGGCCTAGACCCCTGCGCAGCAGCGGAAGTGGTCAGAGGTGGTTGCGTTCGGGGGCAGGTTGGGATGTACACGTGATTCACTGACAGGGAGGATGTGGGATGTGAGAAAGACAGGCCAAGCATAATTCTAAGATCTGTTACATAAGCAGAAGAATAGAGGTTTCATTTATGAGCCAGAGAAGACTGTAGGAAGAACAAATGCAAGGAGGACGACTAGAATCTGCGGTCAGGCAGATGTGAAGGCAGAGAGGTTGAGTCCGGACAGATGAATCTGAAGTTCAGGGGTAGGATACCAATTTAGAAGTTCATCAGTTTATAGATGGAATTTAAACCTTGAGGACTGGGTGAGATGACCAAGGGTAGGTGAATGGAGAAAAGAGGAGAGGGTCCAGGAACTAAGTCCTAAAACACTTTTTTTCTTTCTACCTCACCTTCTATAAAAGCTATCTTGCCAAAGCACCAGATGAGGTGACTCTGGGCCCTGATGGGGTCGAGGCTGGGAGATCCTGAACTTGGTTCTGCCACAGCCTTCGTGACCCTGATATCTATCTCCACTCACATTTTAAAAAATAATTTGAAAAATCTGAGATAAAATTCACATTAACATAAAATGGCCATTGTACAGTGTACAATTCAGTAGTTTCTAGTATATTCAGATGTTGTGCAACCACCACCACTATCTAATTCCAGGATATTTCTATCACCCCAAAAGAAACCCTGTACTTAATAATGAAAGTGAAAGTCACTCAGTTGTGTCCTACTCTTTACGACCCCATGGACTACACAGTCCATGGAATTCTCCAGGCCAGAATACTGGAGTGGGTAGCCATTCCTTTCTCCAGGGGATCTTCCCAACGCAGGGATCAAATGCAGGGCTCCTGCATTGCAGGCAGATTCTTTACTAGCTGAGCCAGAAGGGAAGCCCAAGAATACTGCAGTGGGTAGCCTATCCCTTCTCCAGCAGATCTTCCCAACCCAGGAATTGAACTAGGGTCTCCTGCATTGCAGGCAGGTTCTTTACCAACTGAGCTGCCAGGGAAGCCCAAGTACTTAAGAGTGGTCATCAACAATTCTCATACACTTTTGAAATGAATTTTACTGAAGCATAATTTACAGGCAACAAAATCCATCAGTTTTAAGTGTTGTAGTTTGATGAATTCTGACAAATGTATACACTTGTGCATATTTGCCATTACAATCAAAATATAGAATATTTCCATCATCCCCTGACACTCTTAAAATGTAAAAGGCAGCAAAGGAAACTGAGAAAGAGTGGTTAGAAGGGTAAAAAGGAGATTATGGGGTCCTGGAAACTAAGAGGAGAAAGTATTTCAAGGATGAAGGAATAACTAACTGCATGGAATGCTGCCGAAACGCTGCGTAAGTGAGGTTCACAAGAGAGTTTAACAATATGGAATCAATGGCAACTTTGACATAAGCAGCTCTGGTGGAACGGTGTGCGTGCAGGAGAAACAGAGATGGGTTCCAGAGGGGATGGGAGGGAGAAAGGGATCTGGAAACAGCAAGAAGAGAAACTCTTTAAGAAGTCTTGCTGTGGAGTTCCTCTGGTGGCTCAGTAGTAAGGAATCTACCGGCCAATGCAGGATACACCAGTTTGATCCCTGATCCCTGATTCCATATGATAAACAGGACAAGTAAGCCGGTGAGCCACAACTAACGAGCCCACGCTGCAACTACTGAAGTCCATGCACTCTAGAGCACGTGCTCTGCAACAGGAGAAGCCATCACAATGAAAAGGCCTTGCATGGTAACTGGGGAGGAGCCCCCACTTGCCGCCACTAGAGAAAGCCTGCATGCAGGCCAGCGCAGCCAAAAGACAAATAAATCTTAAAAAGAAAAGAAGTCTTGCTATAAATGGAAGGAAAAAATGGGGTGGGGTTGGTGACTGGAGGGGTCAATGTCTACGTGCTAAAGACACAGACACGTGTCTTCTTCTAATAGCAAGGGAAAACATGACGATGCAAGAAAGCAGGGGGAGGAGCTCTGATCTACATCCTTAAGTTGGCAAGAGGGGAGAGGACCAAACAGTGGGATTGGCCTTAGACAGGAGGAGGGACTCTTCATCAAAGTCTCTCTCCAGGCTCTGTGGCACAAGGGAAAGAGAAACCAGTCACCATGTAAGAGGGAATAAGAGTCTTCGGAGGACAGGCAGGTTTCAAGTAGGGCAAGAAGGTTGGAGAACAATCAGAGAAGCTGAGGATCTGAGAGATTTTGCTGATAACTGACCATATGTCTTAGAAGACAAGGTGGAATAATTTAATAACAAAATTAGTAACAATACTATTCTGGCTTGTCTCTCATTAAATGCACACCTACTATTTCCACCTAGTGCAACCCAAGAAATGGTGTTCTATTTCCAGGCTGGAGGAAAGACCAGGTGAACATATTGAGAGAGAATTTATTTCCAGTGCAGTTGCTAACTTTTGAACTTAAACCTCTACTTCTCCCCAACCTTTGTATACACACACACACACACACACACACACACACCACGTAAAGTAATCGGAAGTATTATCTTTTCTTAATCCGTACCTTGTAAGGATCCTCAGGATCTACCCAGGCCACGTGAAACATATGACGAATTTCCTCTGCCAGTCCAATTCTTGCTCCACTGTTGGCTGCTACATAGATGCGTGGGATGCCCTCTGCCCTGGCAAGTTCAGAAGCTCTGAGAAACAGCCAATCCTCTTGGGGTCCAAAGGACCCAATTCGATAAGTGATGTCATTGCCAATAACAATGATATCTCGGCCGTCTGGATATTCTGGACTTTTAAGGGTCATTTTCCAAGCTACCATGCCAATCTGCAAAGGCATAAACAGACAAACAAATCAGTACAAGCTTCTTACATGCAGAATTTTGTTCCAAGTTCCTTGAAGATATCAGATTGAATGCAGACACAACCTTTGTGTAAAGACATGCAATGCTAAAGAGCCAAGCTCCCTGTGGGAAACTAGAGCAAATATTCTAGCATACTTCTCTAAGATTATGTTGAGAACAGCTGGTTTACTATGTATGTATTTCACAGCTGTCTCAATTTCTTCTTTGGGTTTGCTCAAAGAAGATGGAAAAACCAAAGTCTAAATACACTAAGCATATGTATGGAAGAATACTGTGGCCCTGGGAATTAAGCCAGGATTCCCTAACTTATTACCTTATTTTGTGAGATTCTTTCCAAGAAACCTTTAACATGTAGGAAAGCAGGAAGAGGATTACCTCTCATGACTATACAACTTTTACAAGCCTGGGCCCTTTTACTGTCCTCTAATATTTGATAGGGCTACCCCTGCGGCTCAGTGGTAAAGAATCCGCCTGCAATGCAGAAGATGTGGGTTTGATCCCTAGGTCAGGAAGATCCCCTGGAAAAGGAAATGGCAATCCACTCTAGTATTCTTGCCTGAGAAATCCCATGGACAGAGGAGCCTGGAGGGCTATAGTCTCTAGGGTTGCAAAACAAATCGGACATGACTTAATGACTAAATAACAAGTATTTGATATGAATAATGGCAGCATTCTTTACTAGTTTGCTTCAGGTATCTTCTATTTCTGCAGGAACTGCTGTATCTCAACATTGCCTCCTCTGAGCATCTCTTGTAGCTTTCTCCCAACACCAGAGCACCAAAGGATGCAAGTATGCAAGTAACCGACCTCTTGCTGCACTAATATAGGTAAATCTCTGCTCACTGTTCAGTAGCATCTGTCCAGTCACACAAATAAATGAAACTGACCTAATAGGCGGGGATGACATGTCTCTTCCCAAACCCTCACAGCCCTCTCCTCTTTTAATCCCCTTCCATATGAGAACTAGTCAATCCTTCTACTTGTTTATTCGCTAGTTCCATTTCTTTTCTATTCACTCATACCTCAGTTATGGCTGCAGTTTTTCACATCTGCCTGTCTGCTTCCCTATGCCAGGATAAGTAATGTTTTCCATTCTTTTTTCTCCCCATTGATTCTTTCTGTCTGCCCTGCTTCCCACCCCCACCACTTGCCCCCAAACACAAAGCCTACCAATGAGCATTCCTGGTCCTGCCTAATGGAGCCCAGCCACATTTGCAGTCTTGGGCCCTCATCCCCAGGCTGCCGTGTTGTCACCTCATTGGGGAGCCGGCCATCAAGAAGGGCCATTAACAGATGTAAATAGCGGCATCCCTGGAAAGCCACATGCATCACCCAGACTCAACCGGGCCAGTGATCATAAGCTCTTGAGTACACATTCTTCAATCCAATTGCACATCTGCTGTAATCAGGCTGGTTGAAGCTTTCCACACAGCTATTTGTGATTCTCAGCATTAAGAAATATATATACGAAACATCCACAGATAATATAAGCTGTTTAATATATACCATTGGCCAAATAAAAATCAAAATGGATAAAAATCCAATCACCTTCGGAAGTAAGGCAGGATTACACCATCTGCTCATTAAAGACAGAGAAGAGGAAGAAGAAACAGATCATCCAAAAAAATAGCACAAACTCCAAATATCAGGTTAATTTTGGTTGTTTTTTTTTAAGAAACTGATCAATATAATGCCTGTGTGGAGAAAAATATTTTAACTGCCTTCTCATGTGGCCCTCTAAAACCCAACACTTCTTTTGCTTTTCAGAAGGAAAAGCTATTCCCTGTGAACACATTTGTAATTGGGGAGGTTGGGTTTTATACCAAATTTTATGATATATTAACCTCTGCTACCTAGGCCAGAGCCACTTAGATACAAGCCTGGAAGAATCTACTTGAGCATTTGCATCCTAATGCAAACACTGTGTTCCGAGTGGCACTGGGCAAGCAAATAACACTCTTATCTTTGGCTATTACCTGGGGACTCTGTGTCACTTAGGCAGTCAGTTCAGCAATTGGCCAGGTCATTATGCTGACAATATTGACTTCTAATTAGGTGTCAATACAGCAGCAGCAAGAACAGGCTACTCTTTATCAATGTCTTTCCAAAGTGTGTTCCTCATCGACTGGCCCTTCCCCACTTAAACAGCACCAGTACAGGATACAGAGTGCTGTCTGAGTCTCGGCACAGTCAGATTCCTTTTTGATTGAGTGTTGAATAAGCACAATGGATAAGTATATAAGGAAGCATCTGTTGCTCAATTTTTTAAATTTAAATCTAATTTAAATATATAAATTTAAATATATTTACATATATATTTATACACATTTAAATTTAACTCATATTAAAAATTAGATTTTACTGCTAACCAAATGATGGGATACATAATGTTGAAGGTAGGGCTGGGGAATCAAACAAATTTGGATCCACATCTAAGTCCTGCCATTTATTAACTGTGTGACCCTGGGAAATTCACGTAACTTCATTAAGATTCAAAGTCCCCATGTACAAAATTAATATTACCTATGGGTTTGATGAACAACTATTAGAAGCAGTAATCTATAATAATAATTTTACCATATGAAGTTTTCCTTTGTTTTTCCTCTCAACCTATCCAAATTTTACCCATTCCATAAAAGTTCACTCAAATTCCATTTTCTCAGAAAGCTTCCCCTAGTCTAAAGTGATTCCTCTCTTCCCAGATCTCCTACTAAGAACTTCATGTAGAGAATTCATTTGATAATTATTCATATATGGATTAGGACTGCTTTTAGTTTATCAGCTTGAATTGTCATATCATCTGCTTCATCACATAGCAGGACTCCTACACATTCCTACACATAATATGGAAGTAATAAATATTTGCTAGTTCCACAGTCATTTCATTTTTAAAATGATAGCTGGAAAATACTCAACACCAAGAGCCTAGAACATCATCCACAATTTGTCTCTAGGGATCATAGAGAAACAGTACTAAACTATGATTAAAATATTTTATTTTTTTAAAAATAATAAGAATAATTGCTACCATCATTTGAACACTTATGCTGTATGACACTATAGAAAGTGAAAGTGAAGTCGCTCCGTCATGTGCGACTCTTTGCGACCCCATGGACTGCAGCCTACCAGGCTCCTCCATCCATGGGATTTTCCAGGCAAGAGTACTGGAGTGGGTTGCCATTTCCTTCTCCAGAGGATCTTCCCAACCCAGGGATCAAACCTGGGTCTCCCACATTGTAGGCAGATGCTTTACCATTTAAGCCACCAGGGAAGTCAAATGATATTATAAATGCTAACAAATACTGATAATAGTTAAGAGGTTAAACCGTAAAGTCTGTCTTGGTTCAGCTGTATAGCCTTGGACAAGTTGTAGAGCTTCGGACAAGTCACATAACCTTGTGTAGCCTCAATTTTTCTAATTATAAAGTAGGGATACCAGTATCCTTCTGGAGGGATTGTTGAGAGGAACATCATATTAAATTAGTACCAAGCTGGGCATATAAAGTCTTCAAATAGTAGTTATTATCATTATTAACTTAAAAAACCATTATGATTGCCATAAGAAAACCAAGGCACGGAGGAATGAAGTAACTTGTCCTTACACCTAGAATGAATTACTTACTCTTCAAGGTATGAGTCACAATTACCTTTACTAGAGAAATTAAGGAACTATGTTCCAGACTGGTGCCACTGCACTTAGCTGAAACAATACGGAAAGATAAACATCAATTGTGACACAAACATAAACATCACTGACAACTAAATGCAATGTATAGATTGGATCCTGGAACAGAAAAAGGACATTAGTTAAAAAAAACAAAAAAAAAACTGGTGAAACCCAAAACAAAGTCGATATCTTATTTAATAGTATTGTACCAACATTAATTTCTTAGTTTTTAAAATTATACCATGGTTATATAAGAGGTTAATGTTAGGGGAAGCTGGGTGAAGATTAAAAATGGGAACCTATGATTTTTATAACATTTCTGTTAAGTCTAACATTAAGATAAAATGGGAAAAACAAATGTCATGATAAAAACTTTTCTTGAGGGAATATATTGACTAGTGGGGTCATTGCTAGTGTTCTGAACAGCCTTATAAAATCATGAATAGTAATTTAAAATACTAATTTAATTTAAAATGATGCAATGCTAAATTTTAAGAAGACAGCAAGGAGATCAAACCAGTCCATCCTAAAGGAAATCAACCCTGAATAGTCACTGGAAGGACTGAAGCTGAAGCTGAAGCTCTAATACTTTGGCCACCTGATGCGAAGAGTCGACTCACTGGAAAAGACCCTGATGGCGGGGAAGACTGAGGGCAGCAGAAGGGGGCGGCCGGGGACGAGATGGTTGGATGGCATCACCGACTCGATGGATTTAAGTTTGGGCAAACTCTGGGAGACAGTAAATGACAGGGAAGCCTGGCGTGCTGCAGTCCATGGGACCTCAAAGAATCAGACATGACTGAGTGACTTAACAACAACAAAGGATAACAAAATTGCATGTATACTCTAGTAACCGAGAGGAAAAGCGGGGTAGTGGTTAAGAACACAGATTCAGAAACCAGATGCAAGGAATCTGAATCTAATGGAATCTGACTCTGACAGAATAGAAGTTCAGTCAGTTTTCTAGCCACATAACCTTAGGTAAGATATTAATCTCTATATACCTGAATTTCCTCATCAGTAAAATGGGGTAATAAAAACCCAGTCTGCTGTGAAGACAAATACATGTTAAATCTTAGAATCTTACCTGGCATATTGTAAGCACACAGTGTAACAACACACAGACACATACATATACACACACTCTCTATCTCTGAAAGCAAAGCATGTTGGGGAGTAGAAGGAATAGAAATAAAGAAAACAGCAAAATGGGATGGTAATTTAGGATGATGGGACTTTGAATTTTTTTCCATTTTCCAAATTTCTTCAAATATGCTTATGCCTTGATAACTTAAA